CCAGACTAACTTTTATAGAGCAAAGGCCCTGTGGTTGGGCCTGGCCACACACAGGTGGCTAACTGAATTACAATTCAACCCATAGTAGCTATGGAAACTAGCCTATCACCTTGGTAGCTAGGAGGCAGTATGCGCCCCCTACTGATGGAATGTCTCCACCTGACCTGATCCACCCTTGTATTTGGGCCATTACCTGGGACTGGTCTCCCGGACTTGCTTTTAAATAAATTCCCCTGGGTGGGGGGGCGAGGTCAATTTAAGTTTTACTGCATAAACAACAAAATGGCTGTTCAACCGAGGTGGGGCTGCTCTGGCTATATAGGCCCTTACAGTATTAAGAGTAAAATAATGCAAAAGGTGGATGTGATACCAAGGATACCTCATGCCCAGAGGTGTCTGGGGATAGGGTTCAAATTTCTAACACCTGCAAAGATATGGCGCCCCATGACTAAGAGATTTTTTAGAAATAAGTCTTCAAGCCAGAGGAGCAACCTCAAATACTTAGCAAGATAAATAAAAATAAATCCACACCTAGACAAGTTGTACTGAAATTGAAGAACATAAAAATCAAAGAGAAAATCTTAAAAACTAAGAGAGAGGGCGCCTGGGTGGCTCAGTCATTAAGCGGCTGCCTTCAGCTCAGGTTATGATCCCAGGGGCCTGGGATGGAGCCCCATCAGGCTCCCTGCTCAGCAGGAAGCCTGCTTCTCCTCCCACTCCCCCTGCTTGTGTTCCCTCTCTGGCTGTGTCTCTCTCTCTCTCAAACAAATCAATAAAAACTTAAAAAAAATTAAGAGAGAGAGATTACTGGGATGCCTGGGTAGCTCAGTTGGTTAAGCATCTGTCTTCAGCTCAGGTCATGATCCCAGGGTGCTGGGATCAAGTCCCACAAGAAGCTCCAGGGAGCCGGCTTCTACCTCTGCCTGCCGCTCCCCCTGCTTGTGCTTGCTCTCTCTCTCTCTCTCTGACAAAAAAAATAAATAAAATCTTTTAAAAAAGAGAGAGAGATTACCAACTAAGTAGCAATAGAAAAATAACTACAGATTTCTCAAGAAAAAAAAAGGTATCAGAGATAATAGGATAATAAAAGAATAATATCTTCCAAGTACTGAAGAAAAAAGTCAGTCAAGAATTCTACATTCATTCAACAGACTCAGCAAGTGCAGTGAATTCATTTTTTCAAAACTCAACACCTTCTCTGTGTCTGGCATTTTTCTAAATGATTGTGATACATAACAGATTAAATAGACAGAAATCCATGTCCTCAGGTAGCCTGGGTGCCTCAGTCAGTTAAGCCTCTGTCTCTTGGTTTTGGCTCAGGTCATGATCTCAGGGTTGTGAGATCAAGCCCTGTGATAGGCTCCATGCTAGGCTTTCTCTCCCTCTCCCTCTGCCTCCCCCATATCCCCCCCTGCCCCGTGCTCACTCTCTCTCTCTCTTTAAAAAAAAAATAACCCAAACAGGTAAGAGAATTAAGATGGTCTGAGGTGGGAAATGGGATGGAAGTTATTAAAGGGTTGTCAGGGTCACCTCATTAAGGAGGTGGCATTACAGCAAAGATCTGAAGGAGGTGAGGTACTTCGTGGAAATGTATCCAGATAAGTATTTATTTAGGCATGAGAGAGAAACAAGAGCATTTTTAGACATATAAAGATTGTGGGTGTTTACTACTCACACTCACTGACATAACTATTAAAATGAAGATTTTTGCAAGAAGGAAACTGAAGACAAAAAGAGAAAAAAGCAAAAAGAAATGGTGGGCAAAGGCTTTACAAAATCTTTTTTAAAGATTTATTGACTTTTTTGGGGACACAGTGAGTGTGTGCACGAGAATGGGGGGAGGAGCAGAAGGAGAGGGAAAGAAGCAGACTCCCTACTGGGCATGGAGCCTGATGTGGGGCTCGGTCTCAGGAACCTGAGATCATGACCTGGGCTGAAACCAAGAGTCAGATACTTAACCAACCGACTGAGTCACCCAGGTGCCCCAACTTTGCAAAATCGAAATGAATACTAACTGTTCACATATAAAGGGAGGATTAAAAAATAAAACTCAAATACCTCACAACCATAACACAGAAAAGTAGATGGCGTGATGGGAAGGATTGGAGTTAAAGCCCTGAAAATTTCATGTATTGTTTGCAAGAATGATGTAGTTACTTATTAACTCTAAACTTATTAAAAATTAAACATGTATGTTGACATTTTAAATCAATACTACAAGAGAGAGTAAAAACAAGCAAAACATACATTTAAAAAATTAAAAATACAACCCTGAATAGCCAATGAGCTCATGAGAAAATTATAGTGGAAATCATGAAAAAGTTAAAACTGAATGACAATAAAATATAAAAACAGGTGACATGCATTAAAATGGAATCATGAAGAAAATTTACAGTGTTAAATACATTTTTTCCCAAAATATGCCAAATCAGGGTGCCTGGGTGGGTCAGTTGGTTAAACATCTGCCTTCATCTCAGGTCATATCCCAGGGTCCTGGGATCCAGTCCTGCACTGGGATCCCTGCTCAGTGGGGAGTCTGATTCTCCCTCTCCTTCTGCCTGCTGCTCCCCTTCCATGTTCTCTCCCTCTCTCGATCTCTGTCAAATAAATAAAATCTAAAAAATATGGCAAATCAATGCATAAGGAGTTCTATTTTTAATATTTATTTTCATCTCTATTTTTATTATTTTTTTTAAGTAGTCTCTGTGACCAGTGTGGGGCTTGAACTTACAACCCTGAGAACAAGAGTCACATGCTCTACCAACTGAACCAGCTAGGTGCCCCAACAGTTCCATTTTTTTAAAATAAGCAATTACTTACATATTTACTTAAGAGAGAGAGAGAGCAGACATAAGGAGGGGGAGAGGCAGATGGAGATAAAAAGGGAGAAGCAGACTCTAATGAGTAGGGAACCCTACATTGGGCTTGATCCCAGGACCCTGAAATCATGACCTGAGCCGAAGGCAGACGCTTAGGGCGCCTGGGTGGCTCAGTAAGCTAAGCCTCTGCCTTCAGCTCGGGTCATGATCTCAGGGTCCTGGAATCGAGTCCCGAATCACGCTCTCTGCTCAGCGGGGAGCCTGTTTCCCTCTCTCTCTCTGCCTGCCTCTCTGCCTGCTTGTGATCTCTCTCTGTCAAATAAATAAATAAAATCTTAAAAAAAAAGAAGGCAGACGCTTAACCAACTGAGCCACCCAGGCACCCCAAGAATTCCATTTTTGAAGCTAGAGAAAGAGCAGAACACACCTAAAAGGACAGAGGAAAAAAATAATACAGAGAAGAGTAAAAATTAATAAATGCATACATAAAGAGTGGAGATATCAGTAAAATCAAAAGCTGTTCTTTGGAAAGACTAATATGATCTACCTTTATGAAAACTGACCTATGTAAAATGATGAAAGGTAGGGTGCCTGGGTGGCTCAGTTGGTTAAGCAACTGCCTTCTGTTCAGGTCATGATCCTGGAATCCCAAGATCAAGTCCTGCATGGGGCTCCCTGCTCAGTGGGGAGTCTACTTCTCCCTCTGACCCTCCCTGCCTCATACTCTCTCTCACTCATTCTCTCTCTCAAATAAATAAAATCTTAAAAAAAAAATAAAACACTGAACGGTATATATAAATAATACTGAACAAAAAGATATAACTACAAGATTCAATTAAAATTAAAAGCTATATAGAACATTTTGGAAACATGACAGAATGAAAATGTTTTCATTTCCCCAACATCCTGAAATCCCACTAAAATGATAATAAATGGGGCGCCTGGGTGGCTCAGTGGGTTAAAGCCTCTGCCTTCAGCTCAGGTCATGATCCCGGAGTCCTGGGATCGAGCCCCACATCGGGCTCTCTGCTCAGCAGGGAGCCTGCTTCCTCCTCCTCTCTCTCTCTCTCTCTGCCTGCCTCTCTGCCTACTTGTGATCTCTGTCAAATAAACAAATAAAATCTTAAAAAAAAAAAAAGATAATAAATAATTATATGGGGTGCCTGGCTGGCTCAGTTGGTAGAGCACGTGACTCTTTTTTATTTTTTTTAAAGATTTTTATTTATCTATTTGACAGACAGAGAGACAGAGAGAGAGGGAACACAAGCAGGGGGAGTAGCAGAGGGAGAAGCAGGCTCCCTGCAGAGCAAGGAGCCCAATATGGGACACGATCCCAGGACCCCGGGATCAGGACCAGAGCCCAAGTTAGACGCCCAACGACTGAGCCACCCAGGCACCCGAGCATGCGACTCTTGATCTCAGGGTCATGAGTTTGAGCCCCACATTGAGCATGGAAATTACTTTAAAAATAAAAATTAATTAATTAAAATGATAATATATAAATATAAAAGATATGGACCCACAAAGTCATAAAACTTGCTTAGCGGAATGGAGGAATTTTGAAACTAAGTACGCATAATGGGGAAGCCAACAACATATAATCCAATTTGTGCTGCAGAAAGCCATGAAAGTTGAGGAACTAAAGGTATCGGCATATTCACTATTTCACATTATGTACAACAACTGTAATATGCTGGGAAAAGATTTATGATTTCTGTCACATGCTTTGTTGCCTACATTCATAATTGAAGGAAATGCTAAATTTCACATAATGATTAGTGAAAATATAAGAGGTAACTTTTTTCCAACCGAGTTCACAAGTTCAACATACCTGTGGCTCGGCAAGTCCACTCTTAAATATATACCCAACAGGAATACTTCCAAGAAGGAACATATATATAAGAATGTACACGGGCAGGGCGCCTGGGTGGCTCAGTGGGTTAAAGCCTCTGCCTTCGGCTCAGGTCATGATCTCAGGGTCCTGGGATCAAGCCCCACATCAGGCTCTCTGCTCAGCGGGGAGCCTTCTTCCTCCCCTCTCTCTGCCTGCCTCTGCCTACTTGTGATCTCTCTCTGTCAAATAAATAAATAAAATCTTAAAAAAAAAGAATTTACATAACATTACTTAATAGCCAGAAATTGGAAACAATTCAAATGGTCAAAATCAGTAGAATGACATCCAGAAAACAGGAATCTAAGAAAGGCAAAGTGAATTTCCAGGATGACATCTGTGTAGCAGGCCTAAAGATCAGTCAATCGTTACAGTTGTATAAGGGTAGATGGCAAGAAGAAATATGTCTCCAAATAAAAAAACAAAATGAAAACGAATACTAAAGGATTACCTGATTCCTTTGACCTTGTCCAGTAGGGTTTTACATCTCTGGAGGGGTCTGGTGGAATAATTACTAATGGGTACAAGAAAACAAATCAATTAAACAAAATAACCAAGGTAATTATTAACTCTAGATAAAACAAAATGTCATATTTGAAAAGCAGCATAATAAGAATATATAGTTGACCCTTGAACAATGCAGGGATTAAGGGTACCAAATTCCCCACACAGTCAACAGTCGAACTTCGGAGTCCGCCAAGACTTAAGTACTAAAAGTCTACTGTTGATTGGAAGCCTTACTGATAACAGAAACAGTTGGATTAACACATATTTTGTATATGTATTACATACTGTGTTCTTATAGTAAAGTAAGCTAGAGAAAAGAAATGCTACTAAGAAAATTATAAGGAGGGGCACCTGGGTGGCTCAGTGGGTTAAGCCTCTGCCTTGGGCTCAGGTTATGATCTCAGGGTCCTGAGATTGAGCCCCGAATCGGGCTCTCTGCTCAGCAGGGAGCCTGCTTCCCCCTCCTCTTCTCTCTGCCTACTTTACTTTTTGCCTACTGTAATCTCTGTCAAATAAATAAATAAAATCTTAAAAAAAGAAAATCATAAGGAAAATACAATTACAGTACTATATGTATATTTACTGAAAAAAATCCATGCACGAGGGGACCTGTGCAGTTCAAACCCATGTTGTTCAAGGGTCAACTGTATTATATGTCTCAGCTATGAACAACAATAAATTATCATAATAATGTTAACAATGAATTATGATTGACCAAAAACTTCAACTAAAACAGGTAAGGGGAAGTATATGCAAGACTTTGCATTGTGAATAAATCCCATTAGACACACTACTATCTTTTCCTTGTGGTTTGCCAGTCTGCCATGACTTGAGTAATTAATAACAGATACAACAGTGAGCTGGAACTATTTTCTACAATAGACATGTTTGTGACAGCATGAAATTCTCCAAAACATGTCTTACAAGCTATTGGAGCCAATACACGCCTTAACACACGATGGGTAAAGGCAGGTTCTTTAGTAAAAGATTATGAGAAGAACCCTTATCTCCTTATACTGAATGTCAGGAAGGCACAAAAAGAGGTTCCCTGCAGCTTATGATAACGAACAAAACATAGTCAAATTTATTCTTCCTTAGAAACGTGCTTTCAAGATGATTAGTCAGGCAACACGTTTTCTTATTTAGCCCCTATGGTCTTAAATATTTTCCAGCTTTTTTTTTTAAGATTTTGTTTATTTATTTGATAGAGAGAGACACAGAGAGAGAGAGGGAACACAAACAGGGGGAGTGGGAGAGGGAGAAGCGGGCTTCCTGCTGAGCGGGAGCCCGATGTGGGCCTTGATCACAGAATCCTGGGATCATGACCTGAGGGGAAGGCAGCCGCTTACGGATTGAGTGACCCAGGTGCCCTCCAGCTTTTTTAATAAGTAAAGTTAGAAAAGCAACCTATAGCAAAGCACATAAATGAACAGAAATTTCAGGTTGAAAAAAGTGTTTTGTGTGTATTCAATACGCCTCACCCATTTTTCCCTTTTAATTGGGAGTGGACAGTACAAATGGTTGTATTCTCCGTTTCTCCTCTCATACACTCTAACTCGTGTGTGTTTGCAGGAGGTGGTAGCTATAGGAGAACTCAATGCTCATCTTCAATAAAATTCAACAGATAATTCTCTTCTTTGCTTCTGTATAAATCTGAATAGAAAAGGAGAAGGATTTGGAGAATTAGGGAAATAATCTTTTGGTTTGAGTTTTAAATTTAGGGAAAAAAAACCAGGGGCACCTGAGTGGCTCAGTAGGTTAAGCCTCTGCCTTCAGCTCGGGTCTTGATCTCAGGGTCCTGGGATCGAGCCCCGCATTGGGCTCTCTGCTCAGCGGGGAGCCTGCTTCCCCCTCTCTCTCTGCCTGCCTCTGCCTACTTGTGATCTCTCCCTCTGTCAAATAAATAAATAAAATCTTTTAAAATTTTTTTTTAAAATTTAGGAAAAAAATAACTTTTTAGATTTTATTTATTTGGGAGAGTGAGAGCACAAGCAGGGGGAGGGGCAGAAGGAGAGGGAGAGAATCTCAAGCCAACTCCTGGCTGAGCACAGAGCCCAATGTGGGGCTTGATCTCATTACCCTGTGATCATGACCGGAGCCAAAATCAAGAGTGGTACACCCAACCATCTGAGCCACCCAGGCGCCCCCAACAATTAACTTTTTAAAAATTGTTGGGTAGGGGCCAAGGGCAGGCCATCTCAAAGTGTACCACTGGGCATACTGATTATTTTTAATTAAAAGTTACTTAAGGGGCGCCTGAGTGGCTCAGTCAGTTAAGCGTCTGCCTTTGGCTCAGGTCATGATCCCAAGGTGCTGGGACTGAGTCCTGCATCAGGCTCCCTGCTCAGTGGGGAACCTGCTTCTCCCTCTCTCTGTATCCCTCTTCCCTGCTTGCGCTCTCTCTCATGCGCTCTCTCTCAAATAAATAAATAACAACTTAAAAAAAAAGTTACTTAAGGGATGCCTGGGTGGCTCAGTCGGTTAAGCGCCTGCCTTCAGTTCGGGTCATGATCCCAAGGCCTTAGGATCAAGTCCCATAACCAGCTCTTTGTTCAGCAGGGAGCCTGCTTCTCCCTCTGCCTGCTCTGCCTGCCACTCCCCCTGCTTGTGCTCTCTCTCTGACAAATAAATAAAAATCTTAAAATAAAATAAAGTTACTTAAGAAATAGCCAGTGCAAGGGGCACCTGGGTGGCTCAGTCATTAAGTGTCTGACTTTGGCTCAGGTCATGATCCTGGGATCCAGGGATCGAGCCCCACACTGGGCTCCCTGCTGGGCGTGAAGCCTGCTTCTCTCATTCCCCAACTGTTCCCTCTCTCGCTGTGTCTGTCTCTGTCAAAAAAAAGAAATAGCCAGCACAAGAACACTCTGACACCGCCCCCCAACTTTGTCTCCAGAAAGCAGGAAATAAATCTCCCATGTGAAAGGTACACACTCCCTGTACCAGGAGGTAAACAGACATCCTTATCACCAGAGAAAGAATTCAGAGCCAAGAAGGCTGTATAAACAAACCTTATACTTTTACTAACTTACTACCCCAGCTCAAATTCTGTTCAGAATTCCTTACCAATTGAAGCTCCTGAACATAAGTTTTCTTTGGCCTGTCCGTTCCTCACAGATATATTGTCTCTTTGTCTAAAAAATATAAAAACTGTCTGCCTTGGTCATTTCTTTAGGTCTCAATTTCATTATTGGGCCTCTGTGCATACATAATTAAACTTTGGGTTTTTTCTCCTGTTACCTGTCTCAAGGCAATTTAATTCTTAGACCAGGTAGAGAGTCTTGAGGATAGAGGAAAATTTTTCTTCTCCAACAGCAGCAGAAACACTAGGGAGGGAGAAGCTGACTCCCCACTGAGCAGGGAGCCCAATGCAGGGCTCCGTCTCAGGACCCTGGGATTATGACCTGAGCCAAAGGCAGTCGCTTCACTCACTGAGCCACCCAGGCACCCCAGAAAGACTAATTTGTTTTCTTTTTAAAATTTTTTTAAGTAATCTGTGCACTCAACAAGGGGCTTGAACTCACGATCCTAAAATCAAGAGTCACATACTCTTGAGCTAGCCAGGTACCCCAGCAAGACTAATTTGATAGTATTCATTTTGGGGGGTGGTGCCTGTGTGGCTCAGTCAGTTAAGCATCTGACTTGATTTCAGCTCCGGTCACAATCACAGGGTTATGTGATCAAGGCCTATGTTGGGCTCCACACTGGGCATGGAGTCTGCTTCAGATTCTCTCCCTCTGACCCTCCTCTCTCTCTCTTCGTCTCTAAAAAAATGAAGTATTCATCTTAACATCATTACAATAAAGCTTTTCTATTTTGAATACTCTGTTCTTAGCTGATGTCTCTAAATGATTTCACTTTTAAATTCACCATTATACATTACATACTCATATGATTATGTGAACAACCAAAGTTTATAGTATTTGAAGCAACCAAAAGGCAAAGGGCCTCTAATGTCTATAAAGGCAAAATGTGGGGGCACCTGGATGGCTCAGTAGTTTAAATATCTGATGCTTGATTTTGGGGCTCAGGTCATGATCTCAGGGTGGTGAAACTGAGCCCCGTGTCTAGCTCCTCGTTCAGCAGGGAGACTTCTTAGAATTTTCTCTCTTCTTCTGTCCCTCCTTGCCCAGCCCCCTGCTCATGCACGTGTTCTCCCTCTCTCTCAAATAAATAAATAAACCTTAAAAAAAAAAAGACAAAATGAGAAACATGAGATCTTTTAACATTGGAAGCTTTTTTTTTTTTTTTTTTGGTCTTTGGGACTGCCCTACTAGAAATTACAAAAGTATTAACTTTGAACCATTTTCCCCCTTAGGATTAGTAGTGGCTGCTTGGTAGTTGTTTACCATAAATAAATGAGAAACATTTCTGATCTTATTTTTTTTTTAATTATTCTTTGATTTTTCTTTTTACTTTGGGCTTTTTAAAATAGCTCCAAATCCTAGATGCCTGGGTGGCTCAGTGGGTTAAAGCCTCTGCCTTCGGCTCAGGTCATGATCTCAGAGTCCTGGGATCGAGCCCAACATCAGGCTCTCTGCTCTGTGGGGAGCCTGCTCCGCCCCCCGCCTGCCTCGCTGCCTACTTGTGATCTCTGTCTGTCAAAGAAATAAATAAAATCATAAAAAAAGCTCCAAATCCTCCCCAATCTGAATTTCTCTAAATTGTTATTTATCTAATTGTCTTCCTTTACTTCTATACCTATAGAATGTGTTACAGTGCTTGTCTACTATTTGACATGAAACCTCTTCATGTTTTTATAATATAACATAAACAACATCTTTTCTTTAATTTTTACAAAATTTTAATTCCAGTATAATTAACATATAGTAATATATTATAGGCATAAAATACAGTGATTCACCAGTTTTTTTTAAAGATTTTATTTATTTATTTGACAGACAGAGATCACAAGTAGGCAGAGAGGCAGGCAGAGAGAGGAAGGGAAGCAGGCTCCCTGCTGAGCAGAGAGCCCAATTTGGGGCTCGATCCCAGGCCCCTGGGATCATGACCTGAGCCGAAGGCAGCGTCTTAATCCACTGAGCCACCCAGGCGCCCCAATGGTAAGGTATTTTAAATAATTATACCTTGTAAGCCTCCTTTTTATGTTGGAATCCAAAGTCCTCAAAAATACCTTTAATACCTCGACTAATATATAAAATAAAATATTATCCTTTCCTTTACAGATAACATTAAAATCAGCAAGTATTTATGTGAAATAACTTTTTGTACTTTATAAATCATCCAACTCCTTTCTTAAATGTCTGCTTGGGATCTGGGTAATTTCAGAGCTGATCTGGGTCAGGAATTAATTTCAAACAACAGTGAACACAAGAGTGTTTAAATAAAGATTATTTGGGGGCACCTGGGTGGCTCAGTGGGTTGGGCCTCTGCCTTCGGCTCGGGTCGTGATTTCGGGGTCCTGGGATTGAGCCCCACGTCAGGCTCTCTGCTGGGCGGAGAGCCTGCTTCCACCCCCCGCCCCGCCCCGCCACCTGCCTCTCTGCCTACTTGTGACCTCTTTCTCTCTCTGTTAAATAAGTAAATAAAATCTTTTTTAAATAAATAAATTAATAAATAAAGATCATTTTGATCTTGAAACAATGGTAGTCTTACAGTTCCCATTATGCTGGGTGAAGTTGAACACCAAGCAGTCCCCACATGAGTCCCATGAGTTTTATTTGTGAAAGGAGTAGATATAAAAGGGGACTACAACTTATAAAAAAAATGGCCTGCTCAAGTAAGGCCAGGGAAGAATTTCAGTAGAATTTCAGAAGAAAAACAGTACGGTTTTTCTGTGTGTATGGAGACATTTTCCCTTCTGCTTTTCCAGGTGGGGAGACAACCCCAACCACGATAATGCCTAGCTTGGGAAGTGGGAAGAAGGATCTTGGACTATACAGTGAAACAGTGACAGTCTATGATGCGAGGAACTTTGGAAGAGTTCTCTACCTCTCTCTCTCTCTCTCTCTCTCTGTCTTTTATTCTCCCCTTTAACTGGCAAAAAGGGGCCATACCACAACCTTCCCCTTGGGTTTTGTGGTTTTTTTTCCTTTTGTTTTGGAATAAATAATATATTAACAGGGTACAATAACCAAAAGGTTAAAAAGATGTACAGTGAGAAATATAAGAAAAGGTGGGCAACTTCATTAATCATTAGAGAGGTGCCAAGTGAAACTGCAAGGGGGGACTTCTGCGTGGTTCAGTCTGTTAAGCTTCTGCCTTTGACTGAGGTTATGATGTCCTGGGCCTGAGATCGAGTCCACATTAGGCTCTCTGCTCAGTGGGGAGCCTGCTTCTCCCTCTGCTTACTGCTCTCCCTGCTTGTACACTTGCTCACTCTCTCTCTCTGGCAAATAAATAAATAAAATTAAAAAAAAAAACAACAACAGTGGGCTACCACTATATGCTCATCTAGTTTTCACAAGGGTATCAAGCAACTGGAACTCACACATGGCTCTTAAGAATGTAAAACAGTACAAACACATTGGAAAGTTCTTTGGCAGTGTGCAAGCCAAGGGTAGGCTGCATCAAATGTGACATTTTGGCAGAGTGACTACATAGAATTAAAATTACTCACGAAATTCTGACTTCCTTTTGTCTCCAGAAAGCAAGGAATAAATCTCCCATGCGAAAGGTACCCTTCCTGTACCAAGAGGCAAAGAGACATCTTTATCATCAGAAATCGAGACTTCATAAACAAGAAGGTTGTATAAACAAGTCTTGTTACTTTTACTAGTTTACTGCCCCAACCCAAACTCTGTCTAGAATTCTTTACTAATCGAAGCTCCCAAACATAAGTTTTTAAAAAAGACTTCATTTAATCATTTGAGAGAGACACACAGAGAGAGAGAGAGAGACAGAGAGAAAATGAGCAGGGGCGAGGACGGAGAGAGAGAAGCAGGCTCCCCGTTTAGCAGGGAGCCCGACGTGTGACTCAGTCCCAGGACTCTGGGATCATGACTTGAGCCAAAGGCAGATGCTTAACTGATTGAGCCACCCAGGTGCCCTGAACATAAGTTTTCTTTGTTCTGTCAATTCCTCACAGATTTGTTTGCAAAAAAATTAAAAAGCTATCTGTCTTGGTCATTTCTTTGGGTCTCAATTTTATATTAGGCTTCTATGCACATGTAATTAAACTCTGGATTTTTTTCTCCTATTAATCTGTCTTATGTCAATTTAATTCTTAGGCCAGCTAGAAGAATCTTAAGAGTTCAAGTAAAATTTTTCCTTTATTAAAATGGAACATATGCTTACTGTATGATCCGGCAATTCCAATGCTAGATATGTATCTGATATAAATGTATACATTTGATCACCAAATGATATGTACTGGAATATTCAGAGCAGCACCCCACATAGCAAAATGGATACACTGTGGTAGAGTCACACAATGGAATACTATACAGCAATGAAAACGAACAATTCAAAGCTACATGTGAGAATATAAATGAATCTCACAGCCATAAATGTTAAGAGAAAGAAGCCAGGCATAAAGAATTCACACCATGTAGTTCAGTTTACATAAATTTCTGAACAGGCAAAATTAACCAATGTGTGAGAAGTCAGGATGGTGGTATTCTTGGTAGAGGAAGTGACCTGGAAGGGAAACCAAGGGAGCATCTAGATTGCTGGCCATGCTCTTTCTTGCTCTTGGTGCTGGTTACGTGAGTGTGGTCACTCTGTGAAAATTTATCAAGTTGTACATTTATTATTTGTGCACTTGTCTGTATAGGTATTATACCTTAATTAAGTTTAATTACAAAAAGAAACTTTACATGGGGCGCCTGGGTGGCTCAGTCAGTTAAGTGTCTGCCTTTGGCTCAGGACATGATCCCAGGGTCTTGGGTTTGAGCCCTACGCTGGGCTCCCTGCTTGGCAGGGAGCCTGCTTCTCCCTCTCTCTCTGCCTGCTGCTCCCCCTACTTGTACTCCCTCTATGTCAAATAAATAAAATCTTTTAAAGAAAAGATTTTATTTATTTGACAGAGAGAGAGAGAGAGAGAACATGAGTAGGCAGAGAGGCAGGCAGAGAGAGAGGGGGAAGCAGGCTTCCTGCTGAGCAGAGAGCCCAATGCTGGGCTCGATCCCAGGACCCTGAGATCATGACCTGAGCTGAAGGCAGAGGCTTAACCCACTGAGCCACCCAGGCACCCTAAAATCTTTTTTTAAAAAAATTAACTTTACAGTGTATGGTAGATAATATAATGCCCCCCCAAAGTTGTCTACACCCTAATCCCTAGAAGCTCTATGTTAAGTGTTTAGAATTAAAAAAAAAAAAAAAAAAGAGCAGCCATGAGCTGGAGTCAATTCCACCATCCCCCGACCACAAGAGCAAACCAAGATTTAATTCCAGTTTCAATCTATCCCAGGAATTTGACCTTTTAACAGTCAAGCTAAAAGTTCCTGATCAGCACTAGTGAGGTAATCAGCACGATAAACACCCTACCTTTCCTTTCCTCTCAGAAAGATGTCTGAACCTCAAACAGTCATTTATTTCCTTTTGCTAGTAACTTCCATGCCCCACCCTCCTACCTATAAAAACCTTCCATTTTGTACAGCTCTTCTGAGCAGCTATTTGCTAGGTGGGATACTGCCCAATTCATGAATCCCTTAATAAAGCCAACTGAATTTTGTTTTTATTTTTTTTAGTATAGAAATGTCTAATTTATTTATGTATTTGTTATTTTATCTTTTCATTAACATATAATGTATTATTAGCCCCAGGGGTACAGGTCTGTGAATGGTCAGGCTTACACACTTCACAGAACTCACCATAGCACATGCCCTCCCCAGTGTCCATAACCCAGCCACCCTATCCCTATCCCCCACCCCCTGAATTTCATTTTTAAACATAAATTATACGGCAAAGGGAATTAAGGTAGCTAATCACCTAACATTAACACAGGAAGAGTATTTGGGATTATTCAGAACAATATAATCATGGGGGTCTTAAACGTGGAAGGGAAGGGGTGCCTGGGTGGCTCAGTCAGTAAAGTGTCTGACTCTTGACTTTGTTCATGATCTCAGGGTCGTGAGATCAAGCCCTGTGCCTGGGGCTCCGCACTGGGCATGGATTCTGCTTAAGATTCTCTCGGGGAAAAAAAAAAAAGTGGAAGGAGGAGATAGAAGAGCGAGTGAAAAAGAGGTAGCTAAAGCAGGGTCAGAGAAAGGTGCTATGTTGCTGGCTTTGAAGATGGAGGAAGGGGCCATGAGTGGAGGAAGATGAGCGGCCTCAAAACTCTGAAAATGACAAAAAAACTACATTCTCTCCTAGAGCTTCCAGCAAGGAACTCAGTCTGCAAGTGCACCTGCCTGCATCTCAGTTTTAGTACAGTGAGATCCACGTTGGACTTTTCATCTACAGAACTGCAAGGTAATAAAGGTGTGTTATTTTAACCCACTACATTTGTGGTAATTTGTTACAGCAGCAAAAGGAAACTACTACAGTTGGTGTGGGGAAAAATCAAGTGTTCAGTTTTGATGTGTTCAGAGAATCTGAACATGTTAGACAGCTATGCGGAGATATCAAACAGGCAGCCACATAGGAGTCTGGAATTCAGGGGAGAGGTAGCAGCTGGAGGTACAAATTTCCAAGTAGTCAGTGAAGAGCGAAAAGCCACAGAATGGGTGAGATTAACAAAAGAGTGAGTATAGATAGAAAAGAGGTCTAAGGGGGCGCCTGGGTGGCTCAGTGGGTTAAAGCCTCTGCTTTCGGCTGAGGTCATGATCCCAGGGTCCTGAGATGGAGCCCCGCATCAGGCTCTCTGCTCAGCGGGGAGCCTGCTTCCTCCTCTCTCTCTGCCTGCCTCTCTGCCTACTTGCGATCTCTGTCTGTCAAATAAATAAATAAAATCTAAAAAAAAAAAGAAAAGAAAAGAGGTCTAAGGACTGACCTCTGGGACACCCAGTTCTGACAGCTGACATAGGGTGGTTTAAAGCTAACGAACCCTCTGGGGCGCCTGGGTGGCTCAGCCAGTTAAGCGTCCAACTCTTGGTTTTGGCTCAGGTGATGATCTCAGGGTTGTGAAATAGAGCCCTGTGTCAGGCTCTATGCTCAGTGCAGAGTCTGTGCCCGATCTTCTCTCCCTCACCCTCTGTCCCCTCCCCCCTCAAATATATAGATAAATCTTAAAAAGAAGAGGGAACAAAAGCTAGCGAGCACTCCAAAACAGAGGCAGACACCAAGACGTAAATGCAGAGGCAGATACCTAAGCTAGGCTTATAAGAACAGGCAGGTACTGGAGACAGAAGTAACAGATCTCAAATACGAAGAAACAATTTTGGCAAGAGGAATCAAGCATCTGCTTGGCAATAGAGGTTGAGAAAAATTTAAGGATTACTGAGTCTGGGTAATATATTCTAGATGTCAGCAAAGATGGGACCTTGGCTCTGAGCCAGCTTTCTGCCCTGGGCTTCCATTGCATCCTTACCTTGATTCCTGCCCCCGGTGGGTATCTGTGTATTGTTCTAGCTTATCATTTGCCCTTCTTTCCTATTTCATTTTCTTTTTCCTTAATTGCACATAATACAGAAATAATACATTCAATTGATTCTGACATTTTTTTCCCCACATCTTAACACCTCCAAAATTAAGATGAATCTTAGAAGTTGATGGTGTGAGGGGTACCTGGGTGGCTCAGTGGGTTAAATCTCTGCCTTCGGCTCGGGGTCGTGATCTCAGGGTCCTGGGATCGAGCCCTGCATCAGGCTCTCTGCTCAGCGGTGAGCCTGCTTGCCCCCCCATCTCTTGCCTGCCTCTCTGCCTACTTGTGATCTCTCTGTCAAATAAATAAATAAAATCTTTAAAAAAAAGGACTGGAGGGATTTGCTATAAAATAATAATAGTAGTCACTAATTTTAAGTGTACAATTCAACGAGTTTACACAAATATGTATAGACATGCAACCACCACCACAATTGTGATAAAGGGCATTTTCATCATTCCAAAAACGTTTCCTGGAGTCTCTAGACAGCCAATCCCTTCTCTCCACACCTGTCCCCTGCAATCAATGATCTGCATTCTATCACTAGTTTTACCTTTTCTAGAATTTCATAAAATGAGATTGTACAGCATGTGCTGTGCCTGGATTTTTTCACACAGCATAAGCATTCTCAGATTCATTCATGTTGACAGACATTATCAGTTCGTTTTTATCATGGAGTATCATTTCATCCTATGGATGTATCACATTTTGTTTGTCCATTCGCCAGTTGAGATATTTGAATTGTTTCCAGTCTGCGGCTATTTAAAAAAAAAAAAAAGAATAATCAGCCTTTTTCAAAGTGGGAAAAAGGGTAAACCTATCTAAAACAAGTTGGATTATATTTTATTTTCTCCTCCCCATGAGGCGTGAGTACCATGATAAAATCCTTTTACTTTAAAAAAAGTATAAGGAGGGACGCCTGGGTGGCTCAGTTGGTTAAGCAGCTGCCTTTGGCTCAGGTCATGATCCCAGCATCCTGGGATCGAGTCCCACATCAGGCTCCTTGCTTGGCGGGGAGCCTGCTTCTCCTTCTGCCTCTGCCTGCCATTCTGTCTGCCTGTGCTCGCTCTCTCTCCCTCTCTCTCTCTCTGACAAATAAATAAATAAAATCTTTTAAAAAAAAAGTATAAGGAAAACAAATCTCATACATTTTGGTTATATTACTCCTTTAATTATCAGTGAATGGTGTTAAGTATCTGTGAATCCTAATCAATGTAAGGAAAAGAAATTCCAAAGTTCCTGAAAGTACAGTTTAGAGTCGATAATTAAAAAATACAAATCTAAAAAGAAAGAAAGCACAAGTCGTTCCCCCAGCGAGGTAAACTTTGGATAACTTCGGGTTTTCTGAGGGAAACAAAGCCTGCAGAACCTAGCTTTTTTTTTTTTTTTTTTTTTTTTTGCCAAAAAAAGGTGGTTTTTTTTTTCTATCTTTTGATCTGAAAAACACTGAACTTTCAAGAGTAAAGACCCTTCTTTACTTACAAATAGAGACACTGATATAACAGGCTCCAGAACGCGCGGCCAGAAGCGGCTAACTACTCTGTATGCCGGGATTTGTAGTCCGTTAAAGAGTCCTTCTAGTCAACATGGCGGAGTTGTTAACGACGTGAGAAGAGCGACCCCGAGGGAGTATGGGCCGCTAGGGGATTGGGCTGTGTGGGGAGTCGACAGGCGGGAAGTTAAGACCAGGTGCTAAAACCTTTCCATCAAAGGAAGCTTGGCGCCCTGAAGTCTCGCGAGATTTTGGCGGGACCCAATGGAACGTGGGGCCTGGCTTATCACCAGGGGCGCTTGTTGGGGGCGGAACTCGACGGGAGTGGGCCGGGCGTCGTAGGTGCCCGGCGTAGCGGCGTTTAGGCCGGGCAGCCTCTGTGAGGAGCGAAGCCGTGGCCATGAAGGAGGAGAAGGAGCATAGGCCTAAAGAGAAGCGAGTAACCCTGTTGACTCCCCCGGGGGCCACAGGCAGCGGCGGTGGGGCTTCGGGCGACACCGCCAAAGGGGAAGATAAGCAGGATCGAAATAAGGAGAAGAAAGAGGCGCTGAGCAAGGTGCTTGGCCGGCTGTTGGCCCGGGAGAGGGCGGGACGGGTCCGCCACCCGCGAGGATGGTTGGGAATGGGGCTGCCCTCTTCCTCTCCCAGTCTGCGCTTCTGTTTCTTCACCTGAGTGGAAATCGCGTCACCCTGTTTTCATCCATTCGTCCGAGATGGGGGGTGGTGGTTCCCCTTTCGGCCAAGCCCGGGGGTGCGAGTGAGAGAAAACGGGGGGCGGGATTCCCAGACGAGAAGCTTTAGGTCAGAGCTGTAAGATGATGGAGGGGGAGCGACAGTAAAGAGAAAGAGGAATTAAAAGGCTAATTGGAGGGGGATTATTAAATGGTGAGGGGGCCAGCAGGGGTGGGAGGAATATTAATGGAGGCGAGTTGAGCGTGAGTGGGGGGGGATTAATGGTCCGGGGACCAGGTCAGTTTCATCCTATTTGGGGAGCAACGACGGAACTTTTAGTATTCCTTAGAGTTTTTAATTCTTTACGTTGAATGAGGAAGGATTTTGTTTTACGATGTGTCGGATGTGGTAGGGCGATAGTAAGTCAAATGTTCCTGGCACCCAGAAAGACCAGGGTTAGCCTACTAATTTCTTGCTAATACATCTATTGAAAAATGGGTGCTAGAAAATGATGCGAAAACCAAGTGAACTGCGGGACTTCCGTTTAATAGAACCTTAAGATTTTCCTTTCTCCATGCAGTTCTCATTTCTAAGAGTTTATAAAAACGGTATTATTACTATGTTTGAGTAATTCTGAGCATTAGAATAGTTTTCTACTGGGTTTTTATAAGTGAGCTCATCTTTTAAAGACCGTCTATTTTCAGGGGCAGTGATTCAGGTATGACAGAAAACTGATTTGTACTAATTTGATTTTCCTCATTCATTTCTTAAGGTGGTAATTCGGAGATTACCTCCCACTCTGACCAAGGAGCAACTTCAGGAACATCTTCAGCCTATGCCGGAGCATGATTATTTTGAGTTTTTTTCTAATGATACTAGGTAAAATGAATAAATAAAAGAGGGTGGGGGTAAATGAAAATTTTTCATCCATTCTTTTTTTATCCTACTGTGGGTTTTTTTAAAGATTTTATGTATTTATTTGACAGAGAGAGAGATCACAAGTAGGCAGAAAGGCAGAGGGTGGGGGGAGCAGGCTCCTGGCTGAGCAGAGAGCCGGATATGGGAGTGGATCCCAGGACCCTGAGATCATGACCTGGCCAAAGGCAGAGGTTTAACCCACAGAGTCACCTAGGCGCCCCTATCTTACTGTTTCTATTTGATTTTTGAACTTGTCTCTTACAATATATGCATACTTGTAATTCAGCTAGACACCTGCAAGCACATTTACATAATTGCTTTCCTCTCTGCAGTCTGTATCCTCATATGTATGCCAGAGCATACATCAACTTTAAAAACCAAGAGGACATTATTTTGTTCAGGGATCGCTTTGATGGTTATGTATTCCTTGACAATAAAGGTGAGTCCTTGTAACTGAAGGGGAGTTTCTTTGTCATTTGTATGTTTAAGACAATGTGTGTATCACAGTGTTTTCTCAATGCCTTCATAGCTTTTCTAAAATTCTGGGTGATAAAATGTGCAACATTTGGAGAGTTTTACACATTTGCTGAGCTTACTGCAGTCTTAAAAACAGATGTGTGACTTTTCACAGCCCTTGGGTATTTTTATTAACCTGTTACTTTTGTAGTTTGATCCGCTGAATGAAATTACCACTGTTTTCTCTTCCTGTGGCAGTTTTGTTTGCCCTGGATTAGATGATCTGTTGTTTTGACTATTTACTAGTTATAGCAGTAAATACTAATAAATGACTCTTTGAACTTGTACGACATATTTTAAATATTTACTTGACATCTTGCTTCAAGGGCCAACATTGATTTATTTATTTTAATTTAAATCCTTTAAGCCAGTAATTCCCAGTTGGAATACTGTTCAACTTTCTAATTTGTATTTGTACTTAAAACATTGAACTTGATGATCTCTCACTTTGTATCCAGGAGTCTATAGGGAAGAAAAACTTCAGCCTTAACTCTTTTTATTTATTATCTGCCACTTGCAGCAAAGTGGTCAGGGAATTTAGCCAAAGAATGTCCAAGCTGCCATTTATCACTTTTCTTTTGGCTTTGTGATCATAGGTAAATGACGTATCTTTTTGTTGGGCTGTTTCTCAGTATTACTTCAAAGTTGGTAAAAATGAAATCTTTGTCAGGGAATAGGCCAATAAAAGTTGAAGGATTTCCACTACATTTGATCAGCTTTTATTAATCCCCAGTCCCCTTCCCCCACCAAAAGCAGTTACTTATCCACTCCAGCTTTATTCCAGTAGATAGCAATGTGTTCCTTGAAATCTGAGCTGTATTTTAACTTTTTCTTCTCTTTCTTTTTCCATATAATTAAACACGTGATGAATCTTGTTAATTTATTGTTTTTGAATATCTTGTTCGTCTACTTACTAATACTTTCACATTGTGTCCTTCCCTCCTAATGCTTAGACAACCGTTGTCTCGAAACTTACAGACTTTTCTTTTTCTTTTTTCATTTTTGTATGACTAACTCAGTCTGTTATATTGTCATGAAATGAGTGTTTTTGAAAATAGTGATTTAAGATAGCAGTTGCAGGGGGGAAAAGTCCAAATTCCTTAGCCTGGTAGTCAAGAGTCCTTCAGAGCCTGGCCTCACTTCTGGTTTTTTTTTTTCCCAGCCCCTCTTCCACAGTTCATTCTGCTTCAGTCTGGTTTATCTGTTGCTTCTCAAATAGATCAGTTAATAACCTAATCTGATTCTGCATTCCCTAGGATTTCCAAGATCATGTTTCCTCCCTGACCACTTTGTGATGCCTTCTGGTCATTTCTGCTTACTCTATTCTGGCTCACATCTACATGCCAATGATAGTGTTTTATACCCTTTATGACATTATTCTAGAGCAGGGATCTGGTGTATTTTCTTTTTCCAGCAGTCACTTGGTTTTTTGTATTGAGATATAACTCGCATACCATAAAATTCAGTGGTTTTTAGTATACTCACAAAGTTGTACCACCATCACCACTATGTGATTCTGGAATGTTTTCATTACTCCAAAAAGAATGCTATAACTGTCAGCAATCATCTCCCCTTCTCCTTCTTCTGGACATTTCATATAAACAGAATCATATAATATGTAGCCTTTGTGACTGCCTCTTTTACTTAGCATGTTTTCAAGATTCATCTGTGTTATTGCATATATTATAACCTGATTCCTTTTTTTGTTTACATTCTTTTAAGTGTGGTAAAATACACATAAATAAAATTTACCATCTTAACCATTTTAAGTGTATAGTTTAGTAGTGTTGAGTACATTCACACTGTTGTGCAACCAATCTCTAGAACTTGTTTATCTTGCAAGACTGAAACTCTATACCCATTAAATAGTAAGTCCCCATATCCCCATTTCTTTCTCTTCCCAGCCCCTGGCAACTACCATTCTATCTCTGTGAACCATCATTCTGTATAAAGTTGACCATTCTAGGTATCTCGTGAGTGGAACCATATAGTATTTGACTTTCTGAGGTTGGCTTATTTATTTAGCATAATGTCCTCAAGGTTGATCCTTGTTATAGGGTGTGTCAGAAATTCCTTTTTAAGACAGAGTCATATTCCGTTGTGTGTATACGTACACACTACATTTTGTTTATCCATTTATCTGTTGAGGGACATCTGAGTTGCTTCTGCCTTTTGACTATTGTAAATAATACTCCTGTGAATGTGAGTGTACAAACATCTATTCAGGTCTCTGCTTTCACTTCTTTTGAATATATACCCAAAGGTGAAATTGCTGGGTCATAATGTAATTCTATTTTTAATTTCTGGAGGAACCACCATATTGTTTTCCATAACAGCTGCACCATTTCACATTCCTACCAATAATGCATGAGGGTTCTAATTTCTTCATGTCCTTGCCAACACTTGTTATTCTCTGTTTTTTTTTTTCCTTTAAAAGCTGCCATTCTAATGGGTGTGAGGTGATACCTCATTGTGGTTTTGATTTGCATTTCCCTAATGGTTAGTGAGGTAATATTTTAATCTTTTCATATGCTTGTTGGCCATTTGTGTATCATCTTTGTAGAAATGTCTATTCAAGTCTTTTGAACATTTTTTAATTGGGTTTTTTGTTGTTACTGAGTTGTAGGAGTTCTTTATATATCCTGTATATTGATTCCTAATCAGTTAAATGATTTGCAGATATTTTCTCCCATTCCGTAGGTTGCCTTTTTACTCTGTTTTGTCCTTAGATGCACAGAAGTTCTTAATTTGATGTAGTTCAATTTACCTATTTTTCATTTTCATTGCCTGTGCTTAAGTCTCCTGGTGTATTTTTTTAATAACAGTTTTATTGCGATATGATTCACATGCCATACAATTCACCCTTTTAAAGTGGTTTTTTGTATATTCACAGAGTTGTGCAGCTATTGCCACAATCTAATTTTAGAATACATTTAGCACTCCAAAGAAAAACCCCATATTCCTTAGCAGTCATTCCCCACTC